CAGTTAGGTCAGTTGCCTTATTAGCCTTTTGGATTTACCATGCAAATTCTTGCCTTCATGAATCTGTTCTTTTTTATTCTCTAACCTGGAATATCCTCTTCCTGTTCACAATCTGTGTCTCTCAACCTTGGTTTTGAGTCCTTCTCCTGCTATTCTGAATTCACATATAATGAATGCCCAATTATGTCGCATAAAACATTGTTTTCTTATTATTTCTTATACATTGATTTTATCACTCCATCATTTCATCTTCATGTATATGTTACAGTATTGGATACATAATCCTCATTCACACTTTGTACAGGAAACTGAATAGTGCTATGGTGATTCTAAAGGAAGATTAATGGTAGCAGCTGCCTTAGCCTCCTGAGCTGTTGGCATTACAGGGGTGGGTGCACCACCCTGCCTGGCTCCTGCCCCCTTCCCTTTTTTTTTTTTTTTTAACCAAGAGTAGATAAGAACTGTATATCTATGCTAAAGGTAAGATTTTATTATTATGTAGCCTTTACAGATGAGTGGTCCTGATAATCTAATTTTTACAATAAGAATGATTCAAAAGCAACTGCTGGGGCTGGGGCTGGGGCTCAGTGGCAGAGTGCTTGCCTAGCATGTGTGAGGCACTAGATTCGATCCTTAGCACTGCATATAAAAATAAGCAAATAAAGGCATGCTGTCCATCAAATAAATAAATAAATGCAACTATTTTTGAACAGTTACTTTTTAGGCTGGTGTCTTCTAATAGTTAACTTTTAAACACTTGAGTCATATTTTGCAAATTTCTCATAACATTTTTTTTTTCCTTGTACTGGGGATTGAACCCAAGGGCACTTAACCACTGAGCCACATCCCCAATTCTTTTTTATATATATATTTTTAAACTTAGAGACAGGGTCTTGCTAAGTTGCTGAGGCTGGTTTTGAACTCACAATCCTCCTGCCTCAGTCTTCCCAGCCACTGAGATTACAGGCACTTGCCACCACTCCCAGTTTAAACTCTTAAAACTTGGAAAAAAGTTAACATAGAGGCAAGAATAAAGCAAATAAAACATTAGACATTTAGAATATTGTTATACTATAGACCTGTAAAAATTCATTGTAATTATACATACAGGAGATTAAGGCAATAACATTCATGATGACCTGGAATTTACCTTGTGCCATTTGATTTTTTTTTTTTCTTTTGATACTGGGTTTGAGCCCAGGGCCCTTTACCACTGAGCTATATCCTCAGTCCCTTTTTTATTTTTTATTTTGAGACATGGTCTCACTAAATTGCTTAAGGTCTCACTCAGTTTCCCAGGCTGGCCTTGAACTTGCCATTCTCCTGCCTCAGCCTCCCAAATTGCTGGGATTACAGGCGTGTGCCACTGTGTATCCTTGTGTGTCACTTTAAATCCTGTTGTATGATAACTGAGAATGCCTTACTGTCCAAGGAAGTTGTTTGCGATGGGACTATTTCATGCCTTGCTAATTTACAGTAAATTCGAACAATGAGAGCTATTTGTGTCCTTATATAAGTTCTTTTTAGTTGTGGAGATATATAAATTTTGTATTGCCAGTAAAGGGGGGGAGGATCCTGTGGAGGCTTACATACTAATTTAGGTTGGACCCCTTTTTTTATTTTCAATTTTTATTTTGAAATACTTATACATTCATAAGAAATTACAAAATAAATTTAGAGAGGTCCCATGTACTTGTTTATGTGTGGGTGTGAATGTGTATGGGGGTGTTCTGTGCTATGTTGTCACATGTATAGCTTCCCATAGTCATCAACCTAGTCGAGATGCAAAACTGGTCATCACAGGCCTTCTTCCAGGCTATCCTGTTATAGCCATGCCTTCCCCCTTTTCTTGGCCACCACTAATTTATTCTGCCTCTCAATAATTTTTATTGTTTAAAGAATGTTATGTAAATAGTGTGTATAACCTTTTGAGACTAGTTTTTTTTTTTTTTTTTACTTTGCATTATTCTCTGGAGATACATCAGGTCATTTTGTATATTGTTTGTTCCTTTTTATTAATAATGGATTTACCACAGTTTAACTATTGACAACATCTGGATTGGTTCTAGTTTGGTGCTATTGTGAATAAAATTGTCATGAAAATTCATGTAGTGGTTTTTGCACAAATTTTCATTTCTCTAGAATAAATCCCAAGAATACAGTTGCTGGGTTGTAAGAGATTCATGGATAGTTTTTGAAGAAATGGCTAAACTGTTTTTCAGAGTGGCTGCACCATTGACTTCTTTTTAATGAAAATGTAAGATAAGATGTTTATTATGTACTGTGAAATGTATCTGTTGATTTTTGGTAGCAATCTTATGGCCATTAGTATATCTGGTTGTTTCTGCTGGCCTCACTGAAGTCAGGTGGCATTTCCCTTTAGCCTTTGACTTGGGTGAGCCCAGTCAAATGCTCAACTCTGATGAGTCTTTTGGATGGTTTTGGCACTCAGAAAGAAACTCCCTCAGCTTCCACAAAACCCACATAAACTGCCCAAATGAACTTCTCTTTACTTTCTTCCCTCCAGTTTCTTGAGGATTGGCCCTGATGTGAGCCCTGAATCCTATCTTGAAAGAATTTCTTCATCACCCTTATTTATTTATTTTTTTAAAAATTTGGTTGTAGTTGGGCACAATGCCTTTATTTGTTTGTTTGTTTGTTTGGTGCTGAGGATCGAACCCAGCACCTTGCTTATGCTAGGCAAGTACTCTACTGCTGAGCCACAACCCTAGCCCCCTTTCTTATTTTTTGATACTGGGGATTGAACCCAGGGATGCTTAACCTCTGAGCCATATCCCCATCCTTTTTATATTTTGAGACAAGGCCTTGCTTGAGTTGCTTAGGGCCTCACTAAGTTGCTGAGACTGGCTTTGAACTTTCAATCTTCCTGCCTCAGCCTTCCAAGCTGGCTGGGATTATAGGCATGCACTATTAAGCCCAGTTTCACTACCTGTTCAGACTCATATAATTGTTTTCTAAGCATTAAAATATGCACAGTGTGCTCCCTCCCATCTTGAAAATACTCTTCCTTTTACCTCATCCATTGAATCCCTATCTGGCCACTCTTTCCCAGCCATACTTCTTGACTGCAGTCTCTATTCCGCTGCCTTGTCTTCTGTTTACTTCCTAATGACCATGCTACAACCTAGCTTCTTTATTTGGCTAGACTTCCTAACTGGGATTTCCTTGCTGATGTCACCAGCAACCTTCTGGTACTCATTCTAATGAAGGCGTTTCAATGTTGTTCTCTCTTGGACTCTAAGTAGCTTTTAGTGCTCATGATTACTGTCTGTGGAAATACTTTTTTCTTGCCTGCTGTCTCTTGGGCTGCTGCTTCTAGTTTTTGTTGGGGTCTTCCCTTTGCAACTCCCTTAAATCTTGAGATTTCTCAGGGTTCTGCATAAGGCCATCTTCCCTCATCCTGGGTGATCTCATCCTTTCACTTGGCAGCCTCCACATCTTGATCTGCATCTGGACCTTTCCTCTGAGTTCCAGATGCATATATCCATTTGCTTCCAAACTATATCTCCACCTAACTCTTACAGACTTCACCAGTCACAACACATTTAAAATAGAATTCTCTCCCCAGCACCTTTGCCTCTTAAAAAGAAAAACCCTAATTCTTTCTGCAGGGAGGTACCAGAGTGTTAATACCACAAATCCAACAGTGGGAGTGCTATTAAAATCCACCTGCACTTAATTGAGTTGCTGGGTCAGTCAGAATTACCCATTCTCCATTCACTGTGCCAGGCATTCTAGCCCCACGATTGTTACCCACAGTCTTAGTGAATAAATGTGCCTTTTTAAAAATATTTATTTTTTAGTTGTACATAAAACCCTTTATTTTATTTATTTTTATGTGGTGCTGAGTAAGGGAACCCAGGACCTTGCATGTGCTAGGCGAGCGCTCTACTGCTGAGTTACAACTCCAGCCCGTAAACGTGCCGTTTTATTTTAACTAAAAATAATGTGTACATATGTATCATCTTGTGCCTACTTTTTATACACATACGTACATACACACACACACACACGCACACACAATTTTTATTTTTTGGCACTGGGAATCAAACCCAGAGATACTTAACCACTGAGCCACATCCTTAGCCCTTTTAAATATTTTATTTAGAGTTGTTTAGGGCCTCACTAAGTTGCTGAGGCTGGATTTGAACTCTCAATCCTCTCGCCTCAGCCTCCTGAGCTGCTGGGATTACAGGAGTGCACCACTGTGCCTGTCATTTCCTTCGAGTTATTTGTACTCGCCCTGTCTGATAAGGACTTCTATTGCATCCCTCAGTGATTAGCCGCTTTTCTCCGTTACTGCTACCTCTGGTCACCATGTTCTCTGATTTCCTACTTCAGCTTCCCAGCTGGATGTCTGCTCCGAGTTTTGCACTAGCTCCAGTCCCTTCTCCATGGAGCTAGCAAGAACCACTGAAAGTACGAACTTGATCATTTTACCCTTTTGCTATAAACCCAATAAAATCCAGATCCCTTAAACTACTTGATAAGGAAACTTATATCTGGTTTCTGCTTATATCTCTAGTCCCATATAATTTTGTTCTGTCATTTCCTTCTCTCAAACTACACTGTAGTTATGTTGACAGGCTTTCGCAGTTCATTTGGGGTGGTGAGATATGTGTATGTGTTGGTGGGGGCAGCGCCATGCTTTCTCATCTCTGTGTCTTTATGTAGTGTTCCTCTGCCAGGAACTTCAGTTCCTATCTTTTACCCAGAATTGAACTTATTTTTTCCTGAATCCCTTCCTGTGTGTTTTTATAAAAACAATATCCTGATTTCCTTGTTCTAACATTTAGCTCAGTGTAGTTAATTGCCTGTATTACCTTTAAGACAAGTAGGCCGTAAGTTCTGTATAGATGAGGTTCACTCAGTAGTCTTGTTTACCATAGTCTCTATAAATACTTGAGTAAACAGATGGTATTTTTTGACTAGCAGTGGGCTCTCTGAAAAACAAGTAGAATGTTTTGCTTTTTTTGTAGTTGCTGTCTCTGCTGGCATTCATCTGTGAAGAAGTTGTATCACAATGCACATTGTGTGGAGGACTTTACTTTTTTGAATTTGTAAGCTGCAGTGCCTTCCTTCTGAGTCTCCTTCTGCTGATTGTGTATTGTACTCCAGTGTATGACAGAGTTGATAACACAAAAGTAAAATCATCGGTAAGTGTGAAAAAATAAAATCCCTGTATTAAGAGCTTAGCTGTTTTGATCTTGGTTTTGTTGTTCAAAGTAGGTGTACTTTTAAAACTCAGCACCATGAAAAGACACTGTGTGGGGCTGAGGGTGTGGCTCAGTGGTAGAGTGCTTGCCTAGCATGCATGAGGCACTGGGTTTGATCCTCAGAACCACATAAATGTAAAATAAAGATATTGTGTCCACCTAAAACTTAAAAAATAAATATTAAAAAAAAAAAGAAAAGACACTATGCATTATTCCAACTCTCTGTCTCTAAAGCAACTCAATTTTTCCTGCCAAGGGAATGTTAGTGAAAGTGGGATTAGAGGGATTAGAATGACAGTGACAAACATTGCCAGTATTTTATAGTTATTGGTGGTTTAATCTAATTTACAGTAGACTTTTTTGTGTGTGTGTGTGTACCAGGGATTGAGCCCAGGTGCGCTTAACCACTGAGCCACATCCCAGCCCTTTTTGTTTTTTATTTGGAGCCAGGGTCTCTAAGTTGTTTAGAGCTTCGCTGAGTTGCTGAGGCTGGCTTTGAACTCATGATCCTCCTGCCTTAGCTTCCCGAGTCGTTGGGATTATAGGCATGCGCCACCATACCTGGCAGCCTTTTTTTTTTAAAAAAACTAGATTTGTCACTCTTTATTTTCCACATTTCAGAGTGTCACTCATTTGTTTACAGTTATGAATTGTGTGCCTGTTGTGTTCCAGACATACGCTAACATTGGAGATAGAGTTATGAACTGATTTATTTCTTGAGCTTTTAAATAAAGTAAAATTTTATTTAAAACTGTCATTCTAATGTATAATCCTGTTTATATTTTGCTTTCATTTTATTATGAAGAAAATTGTAAGTGAATTTAAGAATGAGTTTGTTAGGTGGGTGTTGTGGCACACGCCTGTAATCCCAGTGATTTAGGAGGCTGAGGCAGGAGGTTCACAGGTTTGAGGCCAGCTTGGGCAACTTAATGAGAGTCTGTCTCAACATGTAGCTTAGTGGTAGAGCACCCCTGAGTTTAATCTCTAGTATGCTAGAGATGGGGGTGAATTTACTGATTCATTATTCAGAAATTACCCTTACAATAAAATTATAGTGGGAAAGTCTTGTTTTCCAATATTGGAATTGCTTAACTTTCTAGACAGTCTACTATCCTTTGTTTTTATTTGAGTATAGTTTGGATTTGTGGAATGACAGATGAAATAGTTTACAGAAAGTACTGAATTTAAGAAAGAAATCATTGATAAATTTATTTCTTCAGTATGTTTGGGTTTGTGAAGAATTGTGCATGTCAGGGTTGAGGTATAAAAGGATATATATTTCTGAGGATAAAGATAAAAATTATGGTATATTTTAAATTATTAAGGCCAAGAGATAATGGTGTAAAAAGAAAGCAGCAAGATTCTATTGTTTTAAATTAATGAGAAGCAAGCACAGGGTCATGTATTGGTTATCTTAATATATTTACCTTTTTTTTTTTTTTTTCCTTTTTTGTTTTGCAGTGCTGGGGTTTTTGCTTTAGGAATCTGTTACCTTTTTTAAAAATTTTTTTCTCTTTTTGTAGTTGTAGATGGACCATGTGCCGTTATTTTATGTTTATTTTTATGTGGTGCTGTGGATTGAGCCCCATGCTTACACATGGTAGGCAAGTGTTCTGCCATAGAGCTACAGCCCCAGCCCAGGAATTCATTACCTTTAAAAAAAAATTAAGTTAAAAAATTAGAAAAAGTTGATGTCAAACAGTTAAATATAACTTTGAATCAGGTTTTTGATTAACCCATACTTAACAGTTCTTGATATGACCAATATATGACTGTTCTATAATCATGTCCAGCACTTGACGTGCTATGATTTAGAATTCTTCTATTTGATGCTCCATTTTTATGTTGAGGATATTTAGGTTCAGAGTGGTTAAGTAACTGTCTAAAGTTAACACAGCTAGAGTGAAGTGAATTTGAACTCAGGGAAAGCCCTTATGTTGTATATTCTCTCATGTGATCTAAGCAGAATCCTATTAGAACCAAGGTCCTGATAACTTCAGGGCTGTCATGGCAAATGCCATCACTGTAGGAATCTCTGTGTAACAATGGCAACAGACCCACTTTTAAATGAAATACATATTAAGAAAAATTTCGGACAAAATCTTAGGATTTTTGTTAATTGTATTCATTATAATTAATTGTATTAATTATATTATTTTAAAAGTTTTTATAGTTGTAGATGGACAGCATGTCTTTATTTTTTCATTTTTATGTGGTGCTAAAGATTGAACCCCCATTCCTCACACATGCTAGGCAAGTTCTCTGCCACTGGGCTTTGGCCCCAGCCCTAATTGTATTCTTTTTAATTTTTTTAGTTGTGGTTGGATTCAATACCTTTATTTTATTTATTTATTTTTATGTGGTGCTGAGGATTGAACCCAGGGCCTTGCACGTGCTAGGCGAGCGCTCTACCGCTGAGCCACAACCCCAGCCCCTAATTGTAGTCTTACAATTAAGAATTTCCTTTGAAAATTCTTCCTTATCACAGAAAAGTATGCCTTTGGAGTGACTATCATATTACCAGTTTTCCTCTCTGTCAAACACTGTTTTCAGTTGGCAAGTGAGAGCTTTCCTAGGCAGTGCCATAAAGAGCACTTTGCAACCCATGAAGCACCTCATGGTTCTAAGCGGTGTTATGATGAGATATGGAAGCTCTTAGGTGGAAGATAAGCTCATCACACACACTTATTTTGGATTACCCACTTGGAACAGTTAAGGATAATATGTTATTCCAAAAAGTTCCAGTGTCTAAAACACTATTGACATAAATCTAATTAATGATAGATGGTTCTTTTGATTTTTCTCTTTTCCAGAGTGTTATTGAAGTACTTTGAGAGATGTCATTCTAGCATAGAATACTTTAAAAGGAAGGATTTTTTTTTTCTTCTGGAAATGAAATGAAATTGCAACAAATTCTTTGATTGTGATAATTGTTTTTGGAGGAACTTTCTAATAAAGGATTATGTTGGGGGGACTTTCTGTTAAAAGATTATCTTTTGGGGGGGACTTTCTATTAAAAGATTATCTGTACTCTTTCAGTGTGACCAGTTCAAAGTGTGGGTGGTGTTTTGAATGCCAGGCTTATTGGAAAGTTATAAGTTAGGGTATGTAAATTGGGTCGTGTCAAGAAAAAAGTAAGTCATTCAGGTTTTTGAAAATTAAAATTTAGGAACTTTGTTTTTACGAATCTAATTATGTTGTCTTCCTTATGTGTTTTATATTTATGCATAGGATTTTTACATTACATTGGGAACAGGATGTGTATTTTTGTTGGCATCTATCATTTTTGTTTCTACCCATGACAGAACCTCAGCTGAAATTGCTGCAATTGTAAGTATTTAGTATTTTTTAACTTTGCTTTTTTTTTGTTTCCTTAAAAATATAGAAGTTTGAAAAAATACTTGACAGGTTTTACAATATGTGAGAGTAATTTGTCCTTTATTTTTTAATGTAATTTTGAATAGAAGATCTAAAATTAAATAAACATGATAGCCCTAAAAACCTAGAATTTAATTGAGTCTTGTTAAAAAAATTCCATCTACTCCACATATGAATATATTATGCTAATGGAAGTGGTAAAATTGATTTTATCATATTTTACCTCTCTTTAGTTCTTCAGAAGCGTAAATGAATTGGGGGGCTAAGGCAGGAGGATTGCAAGTCTGAGGTCAGACTTAGACCCTGTCTCAAAATACAAAATAAAAAAGGACTGGGGGTGTAGCCCAGTGGTAGAGTACTCCTGGGTTAAATCCCTAGTATCACAAAAAATAATCAAAATTAAAATTAAAAAAAACATAACTACATTCCAGATGCTGTTCTAGGTGTAGAAAAATACTCAGGAGAAATGACTTAAAGGTTCAGCCTAATAAACGAAATAGAAAGGGAAACAAATTGTGACAGAATATGTTAAATGAACCAATAGAAGTTTGTCTAGACAGTACTCTTCAGTGGACTATGCCTGTACTTAAAATTTTAGCAAAACTTTCTGAGGAGTACTAGTTAGGAATAGTTTTTGAGGAAATCAGTTACTAGGATTTTAACCTTTACATGTAATTTTTCTTAAAACTAATATGTATAAGAATTCATCTCTGGAAGAGACTAGCCAGTTCTTTTCTACCTTCCCTTCTACAGTTACCATCCCCACTCCAAAAGAAAAATGTACTTGTCCCCAATGTTTCTATGGTACATTGCCCTGAGTTGTAAAACAAGCAAAAAATAAATAAATAAATAAAAAACCTTTGTGAACAACAAAGGGATGATTGAAAATAAAGATCTAGTATTGTTTTTTTTTTGGTACTAGGAATTGAACCCAGGGATGCTTAACCACTGAACCACAACCCCAGCCCTTTTTTTACATTTTATTATTATAATTGTTATAAGATAGAGTCTCACTAAATTGCCTAGGGCTTCTCTAAGTTTCTGAAGCTGGCTTTGAACTTATGATCCTCCTGCCTCAGCCTTCCAAGCTGCTGGGATTACAGGCAGGTATCACTGCACCTGGCAAGGTTCAGTTTTTATCTGAAATCATTGGGAGTAGGTTTGTTTTAAGAATTCAGAATATTCTGGACTTTGGAAAGTTAATACTCCTCCTGTACTATGTTACCCTTTAGAGGGCCTAGTACAGCACTCTATAATCCAACATTAGTATTTCTGAAGCAAAATATGAATATTTACAATAAAAGGAGTAAGAAAGACTGTAAATAATCTTATTATGTGTCAATTTTGAGTCAAGTGAATCATGAAAGCTTTGAGTTTTTGTAGCTTTTGGGGTTTCAGAATTGCAAATGAAGGATCATGGACCTGAATTGGTACCAGTGTTGTGCATGTGAACGACTAATGATGGGATAATACATCCTCTTGCAAGCCATCTAGTTTCTAGTTAGTACTTTGTTTTTAATGAAATTGAAGTTGCAATTAGTAGTTGTCAGCTAATAGATCATTAAAACCACTTTTATGACAGAACAGTAGAAGAGGATTTCAAAGAATTGTATGGCTATATCTACCTATTCATGTGATCATAATTTCTTAGCTCTTTACACCTATAAAAACAAAACAGATAAAATTATTGCTGAACCTTGACTCATTCTAGCAATTAATAATATCTATCCAAGGATACACAAACCATTTGGAGAGAAAAACCAAAGTTTTAATAGGGTCTTATGGTTAATTTTAGTTTGTATACATATTGTCATTGCAGAGAAGTGTGATAGGGTGATTAATAATATACTTATGAGTATAAAAATATATTATCGGGGGCTGGGGATGTGGCTCAAGCGGTAGCGCACTCACCTGGCATGCGTGCGGCCCGGGTTCAATTCTCAGCACCACATACAAAGATGTTGTGTCCGCCGAAAACTAAAAAATAAATATTAAAAATTAAAAAAAAAAAAAAATATATATATATATATATATATATATTATCGGCTGAGGTTGTGGCTCAGCGGTGGAATACTCGCCTAGCAAGTGTGAGGCCCTGGGTTCGATCCTCAGAACCACATAAATAAATAAAACAAAGGTATTGTGTCCAACTAAAACTAAAGAATAAATATTTTTAAAAAATATATATATAAATTCATAAAATTCTGTGGGGTAAGTGAAATGAAGTTGAGGAATACTTGAGTTCTAAGGGAATATTAAAAAAGCATGACATAAAATCCTCAGCTGTTAAAAAAAGTTTATTTTTTATTTAGATAATGCATTAGAATGTTACAGTAGTTAGATTTCACTGGGCATATTTAATAGTTACTCGTGGTTTAAAAAGTCAGTATTTATAGTAAACTGAAGTTACCTTTTGCAATTATTTTGGGGAGGGGTTACTGAGGATTGAACCCAGGGATGCTTTACCACTGAACTACATCTCCAGCTCTTTTTGATTTCTTTCAAGGCAGGGTCTGGTTCAGTTAACCGAGACTGGCCTTGAATTTGCGATTCTCCTGCCTCAGCTTCCTAAGTCATTAAGATTATAGGTGTGCGTAGTCACTCCTATAATCTCCTGGCCCTTCTGCAACAATTCATGTTATGAATAGACTTAAATGAGTGAGAGAGACATTAAAAATAAAAAAGGGAACTATGTGAACAAAGGAGCTGGCAGATCACTTGTCTGGATTATATAATATAGAGGCCCCTCTGTGGACTAGAGCTTTCTGAGGTGGTCAGAGATAGTTTGACAGACAAGGGGATATCCTTTATGCATTTGAAATATTCAAAAAGTTTCCTAAGCAAGTAAGGGAATAGATGTTATCAAATAAAAATAAAGACTTCAGAGTGAGAAAGACTTGGGATTGAGGGTTGGGTTGGGTTGATAATTTTTTTTTGTACTGGGAATTGAAAATAGAGGGGCTTAACCATTGAGCTACATCCCCAGCCCTTTTTTTTTTTTTTTTTTTGGATACTGGGTCTTGCTAAGTTGTTTAGGGCCTCACTAAGTTTTTGAGACTGGCCTCAAACACATGAATCTCCTGCTTCAGCCTTCTGAGTTGCTGGGATTACAGGCTTGCACCACCATGCCTGGCTTTGATCAATAGATTTAGGTTGAATATGTTGGATATATCCAGGTGAATTAATTTGGAGTTTAATAATTTGCTATATGGTGAAATGGGACAGAATGCATATTCATTTTAAAAAAATTTTTTTTTAGTTATACATGGACACAATCTGTTTATTTATTTTTTATTTTTATGTGGTGCTATGGATAGAACCCAGTGCCTCACATGTGTGAGGCATTCGATCTGCACTGAGCCACAACCCCAGCCCAGAATGCATATTCTTTAGAGTGGAGAGGGGTTGAGGATGGTGAGGGTCAGGAGATGGCAACATATAGTTAACAGAATGTTAAGAATTACTGAGGTGGAATGTTAGAGTTGCAGGAGACATTAACCATCACCCAATGCAATTTCTCTTTTACTTTTAGGCCCCTGTTTCCATAAGGGTTTTGCTAGGGAAGAAGCGAAATTTGAGCATGGTCTGACTCTTGACAGAATTCTCAGAATGTTTGATCATATGTTAGAAGAGTACAATGAGGAAGTGATTTTAAGGAAGAGGAAGTAGGTAGTGGCATCATGTGTTGTTGTCATTTTAAGATGGGACAATTAACTGGAAGTTAGATAATTTAATCTCATATCTTCAAAATGAAATTTGTTTTAATATTAATTACTTTATCCATTTTTACCTAGGTTGAGTTGTCTACTCACATATTTCCCTAATCATGAATGTGGGTTAGTCTAAACACTGTTAATAATCCTTTATTTTGTATCATTTTATGGGTTCCTCTACTCACCTTAGTTTCATAGATTGTTGCCCCACCCATATACATACATATATAAGACATGCATTTGTATTTTGTGGGACTTTATCTAATAGCTGTTATTCTGGAAATTCTTCTTTTGTAACTTCTTTCCTTTTTTTTTTTTTTCCTTTTTTTGGTACCTGGGATTGATTGAACCAAGGACACTTAACCACTGAACCACATCCCCAGCCCTTTTTATGTTTTATTTAGAGGCAGGGTCTCATTGAGTTACTTAGACTTTTGCTAAATTGCTGATGCTGGCTTTGAACTCATGATCCTCCTGTCAGCCTCCCAAGCTGCTGGGATTACAGGTGTGCACCACCATGCCTGGATTCTTTCCATTTTTTGTTAGTTTTAAAAAGTTATTTTATCATTAAAAAGTAGTAGGTATAAGAAAAAATTGAAAAAAAAAGATAAAATTGATAAATCATCTTGCTTGTATGAAGCACTCTCAGAATCATGTGGGAAATGTGAAATTGTATTCCACAAGTTCTTATTATAACCTTTTCTCCTTTTTTCTCCTCAGGCGTTTGGATTTCTAGCAAGTTTTATGTTTCTGTTTGACTTTGGTGCTATGCTTTTTGAAAAGCTACAGGAGTCCCAGCTAAGAAAACCTGAGAATACCACTCGAGCAGAAGCCCTCACTGAACCCCTTAATGCCTAAAGACTCTGGGGAGCAGGTGTTACACAAGATGGTGACTCTTGGTGGTGATGCCTGAGCTCTGGCAGAAGGTCCTGTAGAATTTGTGTAATTGCTTAAACCACTTCTTTGGAGAATTGGGGGAATAGCAGGAAGGCAGGTTTATCAATATTAGGCTGTGTTTTCAGTCACCACAGTCTAGAGTAGAGGGTTTTTTATTTTTAATTGTAAAAAAAACCCAAAAACCTTAAAACTTGTTGTTATGGAGTTTGTCTTTTTTTTTGAGGAGAAGGACCGTTGTTTAAATCACACAGTTCAACTAAAGATAAATGATTCTGTCCTTGTGTTACAGGGCATTCTCTTATTAGTCTTAGCTTCCAAATTATGCTTTATAGCTGTATAAACAGCATGATTATATTCATTTATTTAGAAATTATTTCATTCTTAAATTAATTTGCTTAGATATTAATATTTTTATTAGATTATGTTCTGTTAATGGAAATTTAATGTATATTTTAATAGACCAATATTTTAAATGTTGGTCTAGGTTTTTTCTTTACTATGTGATACTTGGCTTTACTGTATCTCACTCAGCCTTAAAATTATATGGTAACATTTTAGGATAATTATTAACTCTTTCTGAGACCTTTGTATAGCTTAATATAAAATATCTGGGAGCTGTTGGTATTTTATGTGTAAAAGCAGCAGCAATCTCATGTTTAAACTGCACTTTGTTGAGATCAGGTTTAAAAAAAAATGATTGTTATATAACAGAAAAATTGAAGAAACTGATATTATACCTAAGGACCAAAGAAAAGAAAGGTAGATTTTTTACTTAGTACAATATATAGAAACAGGCTTCAACCACTTCCCATGTATGTGAAGAAGTGAATTTATACTATGGGTTAGAAAAAAGGGCTGTTACCCTGTTGGCATGTGATCATTTCTATTTAATGCAGCTCTGTGGGTCCTTTTAAGATCACTTTGAGCAAGTTTTCTTTTTAAAACCCCAGTCTTTGATTTTTCATCTGTTTGAGATGCTTCCTTTTCTGTCTTATCAGAATGGTCCACATGCTGCTTCATCATCTGACAGAGGTGGGCCTCTTCCTTGTTAGTTTTCTTTAGGTGTGAAAGTGTGTAGCGGGAGCCTTAGGGTCCTCGTTCCCACATTGGCATTGCTCTAGCTTCTTGTAGAAGAAGATATCGTAAGAAAGTGAATGTCCAGGAACTTGACCAGGTGAATACTGTCGATGATGTAAGGAAGTAGTCAAACCATTCTCAAGAGATTTCGGTTCTGATAATTTGAAAGAATTGTCTTTTGCTCGCTGTCTTATAGTCATACACACAGGGCACTTGAGATAGGACTTTGTTGAGATCAGTCCTTTCTGCCCAAGTCATACAGAGTAGACCTTTCTTGTTCTCGACCAGAGACTCCAGTATTAAGGTCATGAACCCAGAAGTCACATCCTTTCGTATTTTGGTGGAGGATTCCTAGGCTAGGTTTTCTCTCTACAGCAGTGGAATCTTATTTCCAGTGATTCAGTTAATGACCACATTCTTTTTAGTTTCTCAGCTGCCATTTGAATGTTGTAGATAGGTTTTAGTTGCATGCACGTGGCTATTGTGGTTCTCAAAAATTGGTCAGACTGGGCAGATACAGCCTCTGCTGTGTTATAAGGTCAGTTTCTTATTCATCTGTATCCTATTTTAGATGCTAGTGTTAGTGATGATATCACTACTACCTACTTGGGAGATAATGAAATCAATCATAGATTCTGTTTTTATTGGGTATGTCATCTAAAAGAGGAGAAATAGCTGGGTCTTAGGTCCAAGAATGATGACTGATTCAAAGATAAAAAATTTATGGTAGGCAATTGTAGAATTTCAGATCACACTGTGTACTCTTGTCATTTTAAATGTCATCTATACCCATATAGAATTCACAGCAAATTGACTGGGCTACCTCAGTTTTACCACCTGTGTTAGTCATCTTTCTGTTGCTATAAGAAAATACCTGAGAAAATAAACTGAAAAAGAAGAAATGGTTATTTGGGATTACAGTTTTGGAGGTTTCAGTCCATGGTCAGTTGACCCTGTTGCTTTGGGGTCTCTGGTGAGGCAGAACATCGCACTGAGGAATGTATGGTAGAACAAGCTGCTCACCTTATGGCAGCTGGGAAGCAAAAAGGAAAAAAGAGAGCAGCAAAGACAGAAGTCCTATAGTCCCCTTCAAGGGCACCCCCCCCCCCCCCCCCAAAATCTCCCATTAGGCCCAACCTCTAAAATTTCCAGCACTTCTTAAATAGTGCCATTCTAGAGAACAAGCCAGCAATGCCTGAGCCTTTGGGGAACATTCTAGGTATAAATTATGGCACCAACCATGCTTTGGGCTTAGTTAGAATTGACGGACTTATTCCCAGTTGGCTTCACTCATTCAGCATGTTGGGATTGATTGTAACTCTGCTTATTCTGAAGTTTTACCTCCATGTTTCATTGGTGCAGAAGTGGGCTGCTTAGTAGGCCACTTAATCTTTTCTTTTTCAGAAAGATAATTTGTTCACTTGTATTTTTGGCCACTCTTAGAATCTTCTTTCACATTATTTTTTTTTATGGAACCCATTATTAGTTAGCTTCTCTCACCTGGAAGGAAACGAGTAAAAAGATCATGGTAGTAAATAAGTTCAAGGAGAATTTGGGACCAGAAACTGCTGTTATGTATAGAAAAGGGCAATCTCAGTAAATTCAAATTTAAAATAATTTTATATTAACAGCTATGGCAAATTTGTATTTTATAAAAACTGTTTAAAATGGTTTTTAAGAATTATAAGGGAAAGGTACTTATAGTGCAAAAATTTTGTAATTATTAAATTATGCTTTATTTGGGGACTGGGAAATGTATTTTTACATTGTTTATAGCCAATCATTTTTGTATTTGTCAATGTAAATCCTGTGGGTCTTTTTTATCTCTCTCAATGTCAAATTTTATAGTCTTCTTTTTAAATAAATCCATTTAATTAAAATGTTCACACCTTTGTAGTTGTTCATTATAGGAGCATGATAGTTTGTCGAACGGTTTCTCCCTAGTTGTGGGAGTTGGCTCAAACCTTGTTGAGTACCTGTGTAGAATACTAGAGTGTGCGCTATCCAGGGGCAAGAGGTGAGGCTAGGAAAGAAGCCAGTCCATTTCCTATACCTGAACTGTTCCTCTTGATGAAAAGTTAAAATACACATTTAAACATTTTTAGGGGTGAAAAGTTATAAAATAGTGTTACAGATTAAATGCCTTTATAGAAGCAAATTTGGGCCCTATATCACATTTCTAGATGTGGCTAACAGTGCTTAAAAAAACAGGCATATTCTGTTTGTGACTGTTTAACAATTGGGAAAGTGCAAAGGAAAAGTAGGGTGGTTCTGGTAAATTTACAGCTATTTGTGTAGTTTGCAAAATTCCTGCCTCCAGTCTGTATGAGAATAACAAGGTCTTTATAGTCATCAAGAACTCACTGGAATTCATACATTCTTCAAAGTTTATTGTTTGGTTTTGATAAAGAGCATTCTATCAATATGCTGTAAGCTGCAAGGAGAAGAAAATATAATCAAATGTGTCTTAAATGGTAAGAAAAACTTTACAAGAAAGTTGGGTAGGTCTTGGTGGTGCAGGCCTGTAGGTAGCCTGCAGGCTCAGCTACCTACACAGGAGGGACAGGTAGGAGGATCACTTGAGCACAGGAGTTTGAGACCAGCCTTGTAAATTCAGTATTTCAGCTGTGTCGTCATGGACCCAAGTCCTTTTCTGTGATTTTCTGACCATCCATCTTGTGCTGTGAGTTTTGTCCTTAAAGTTGAACCTTGGGGGAGGAGGGCAGTGCTGGGGGTTGAAATCAGGGCTTTGCAAACACTAAGTGTTCTATTACTGAGCTACATTCCCTACCACTACCCATTTTATTTAATTTTGAGATGGGGTCTTGCTAAATTGACCAGGCTGACCTTGAACTTGAGATCCTCCTCCCTCAGCTTCCCTAGTTGTTGGGAGTACAGGCCTGGCTCAGGGTTGAGCCTTTATGGTGTAACAAGACATCTACACAGTGGTATCTAAGAAGAAAAGGAATTATTTATTCTCCTGTATCTCTCAAGATGTTTCTTTTCAGCTGGGTGTGGTGGTACATGCCCTACTTTATAGTTTTTTTTTTTTTTTCAGTCACTAAAATGTACAGAGAATAACACTTGGAGACAATACCCAGCTTAAGTAGATTTTTAACATTTTGCTATATCTGCTCTAAGATCCTTTGTTGAAACAAAAAAGAATTTTAGCCAGGCATGGTGGTGCACACTGAATCTCAGTAACTCCAGAGCTGAGGCAGGAGGATTGCAAATCCAAGGGCAGCTTAGTTTGACCTTGTCTCAAAACAACAACTAAGGAGTTGGTGATGTAGCTCAGTGGAAGAGTGTTTGCCTAGCATGCAAGAGTTCATTTCCTAGTACTGCCAAAAAAAAAGGAAAAGTTTTTTTTTTTTTTTGAGTGTATGTGTGTGTGTGTGTGTGCTTTTTGTTATTGTGTTTTGTTGTTGTTGTTTGTTTTTGTTTTTAGTATCAGGAATTGAACCTAGCTAGAGGTGCTTAACTACCAAGTCACATCCCTATCCCTTTTTTTATTTCTTATTTTGAGAGAGGGTCTCACTGAGTTGCTGAGGCTGTTCTCAACTTGTGATTCTCCTGCCTCAGCCTCCTGAGCCACTGGAATTGCAGGCCTATGCCACCATGCCCAGTGAAAAAGTTGTAAAGTACTACTACGTTGAAGCCCATTATTATATATAATTAAAATGTACTACCTCTAATCATATTCTTCCTTTTTGTTTTTGAAATATTTATTTTTTAGATTTAGATGGACACAGTATCTTTATTTTATTTTTATGTGATGCTGAGGATGGAACCCAGTGCTTCAGGCATACTAGGCGAGGACTTTACCACTGAGCCACAACCCAGCCCCTCTTCTTCCTTTTTTTAAGGGTAAACATTATATTAAATTTGGTAGATCTCCATCCTTCTCTGTTTTTATTGTCTGTACCAAATATGCATAGGAATATGCATTGGAATAACATGGATATAGAAAAATAGCCCAAGAAAGCCAGCATCAGACCCATATAAACATTTGGTAAACAAGAGAGGTAATCTTGTGTACCAAAGAAAAAGTTTCTCATTTAAATAAACGAGATCACAAAAATCAATGTAGAATCAGTATAAAATATAAAAGGCAAATCTTTAAACATTTTAGAAACAAAGGAGAACATTCATGACTTTGAGGTTACCACAGAAACAAAATATAAACCATAGACTGTAAGAAAATATTTGCAAGACAGATTTTTTCAAAAAAATTATTTTTTTAGTTGTAGGTGGACACAATACCTTTACTCTATTTAATTATTTATTTTTATGTGGTGCTGATCGAACCCAGGGTCTCGTATGTGCTAGGCGTGCTAGGCAAGCTCTCTACTGCTGAGCCACAACCCCAGTCCTCCAAGGCAGATTTTTAACTAAGGATAATATTCAAGTATGTCAAGAACTCTGAAATGAAGGAAAAAACTCAAAGGGAAGACACAGGATGTAAACAAACAACTCACAGAAATGTGGAACCCAAAACAAATGAAAATGATGATCAAATTCATTGGAAATATGAGATAGGATGAGGCATCATCTCAGTCCCGGACCAGCAAAAATGTTAGTTCAACAAACATCAAGTTCAGAATAAGAGTAGGGAAACAGCGCCCTTAGCCCTGCTGATGGGGGACCCACTTGAAAATATTTAGCCATGTTAAAATGATGCATCTTTTTTTTTTTTTTTTTTGAAATGGGGTTCGAACCCAGGGATTTGCAAATGCAAGACAAGAGCTTTGCCACTGAGCTATATCCCAGTTCCCCAAATGATGTATACTTTTGACCCCAGCGATTTAGCTTCTAAGTCCTTGCCCCCACATATAAACTCACATGGAGACATTCATGTATGTTTGTTCATTGTAATATCGAAATGGTCAAAAGCTGAAAACCACGTTAAAAGTTTTCTTTCATCTGGGTTTGGCTCAGGAGGCTGAGGCAGGAGGTTTATGAGTTCAAAGCCAGCCTCAGCAAAAGTGAGGCACTAAGCAACTCAGTGAAACCCTGTCTCTAAATAAAATACAAAATAGGGCTGGGGATGTGGCTCAGTGGTTGAGTGCCCCTGAGTTCAATCCCTGGTAGGAGAAAAAGAAAAAAAGTTGCAACAGAGGGTATGTAAATTGTTTCATTATCATACAAAAGAATATCAAATAGCATTTTCAAAATGAACCAGGGCTGGGGATAAGACTCAGTGATAGAGCATTTGTGAGGCCCTGAGATGTTTCCCCAGCATGCAAAAAATATAAAAGAACTGTAGTTTTATGTATCAGATAAACTTAAAATACTATTAATTTGATAAAATCTTAATAGCTGAGAGGGCAAGTTCAAAATTGTTCTGTTCTTTTCTTTAATATTTATTTTTTAGTTATAGGTGGACACATATCTTTATTTTTATGTGGTGCTGAGAATCGAACCCAGTGTCCCACAGATACTAGCTAGGCGAGTGCTCTACCTCTGAGCCATGACCCCAGCCCAAAATTGTTCTGTTCTATTCTACTTTACTTTTTGTTATAATTTTAAGGATGGATTTGATAAGTTCCCATCTTTAAAGAATTTTCTTTAAGAATTGCCTTGAATTTAAAGATTAATTTGGGGAAGAAAATGACATCTGACTGCTTGAACTTCACTTTCACGAACATAGAATGTTGATTTAATTAACTTATTATTTTTCAGGAAGATTTTATGGGTTTCTTCATAAAGGTCTTATTCATCTGTTGGATTTATTCTGGATACCTTATTTTTGAAGCTACTCCAAATGTAATCTTAATTTAAAAAATTAACATGTTCTGATTAGTATATTGGAGTAGGAATGCAGTTGAATTTTGATCATTGAATTGTTTTCCATAACGCTGCTGACATCTTCTGTGTTACTGTGATAGTTTTTCTGTGTCTTCTTGTCAGAATCCTCACATTCTGGGTTTATCTGTTTATGTTACATGGTGACTTATCTTGTTCCTCTATCCCCAGTATTTCCTGTAAACTAAAAGATAGCTCTGAAGACCTCCTTGAACTCTGGGTAGTCAGTTCATTTTTCAAGTCTTTCCTGTATGTGATTCGGCATCCTTCATCAGCAGGTGTGTGCTCTGGTCATACCACACTTAATACCCATGTGTTCAGCAGATTTGGGGACTGCAATCTGATCCTCCCACTGTAAAGTTCCCACTTTTTAACTCAAAAAGCTTACATCCATAGCTCTTACCGAAATCTGTTATTTTGTTAGGGATCCTGATTGGCAACTTCATAATTCTCTTACTCCTACCACTCTTTTTCTTGGGGGGGAGGGGTTACCTGGGATTGAACTCAGGGGCACTCAACCACTGAGTCACATCCCCAGACCTATTTTATATTTTATTTAGAGATAGGGTCTCACCGAGTTGCTTAGTGCCTCGATTTTGCAGAGGCTGGCTTTGAACTCGCGATCCTCCTGTCTCAGCCTCCCAAGCCACTGGGATTATAGGCATGTGCCACCGTGCCCGGCCCTACCATCTTTATTTAGCTAGAATTCTTCAATATTGCTCTTATGATTTAGCATGCATACTTGACTTTATAAAGATTATTAAAGTTAATCAGCATCTACCCATCTCTTGGACAATATTAAGACCCTACAAATTAATGGCCCATCAGTTTTCCCATCTACTGTTATTACTGCCCACTATTTTAAATCTATCTTAATACCTTCCTCAGAAGATCTATTGGTGTGGTTCTTTTATGCAGTCATTGCTGTTTTTGATTTACCAGCATGTTTTCATTTTCATTCACCATTGCTTCTTTCCAACCTACTCCTTATTTTGGGATTGTTTTCTTCTAACTCAAGTGTGGGTCGTTCTTTCAGCAAGAGTTTGGAAAGGAGTTTAATTTGCCTGGATTCTTAAAAG